TAAAACCAACCACACTGAACCTCATAGAAGAGAAAGTGGAAAATCACCTTGAACACAATGTCACAGGAGACTATTCCCTAAATATAACACCAGAAGCAGACACTAAGAGCAACAATGAATTAATTGGACATCCTGAAACTGAAAAGTTTCTGTAAAGCATAGGACACTGTCAACAAGACAATACCACAGCCTACAGAATGGGAAAAGATCTTTACCAACCCCACATTTGACAGAGGACTAATCTCCAAAATATACAAATAACCCAAGAAACTAAACATCAACAAACCAAATAATCCAATAAAAATGGGGTATGGATCTAAACAGAGAGCTCTCAGCAGAGGAATATCAAATGTCAGAAAGACACGTAAGGAAATGCTCAACATCCTTAATCATCAGAGAAATGCAAACCAAAACAACTGTGGAATTCAGTCTTACACCTGTCAGAATGGCCAAGATCAAAAAGTCAGCTCATGCTGGAGAAGATGTGGAGTATGGGGAACACTCATCCATTGCTGGTGGGAGTGCAAACTTGTACAGCCTCTTTGGAAATCAGTTTGGTGGTATCTCAGAAAAATGGCAATTAATCTACCTCAAGACTCAGCAATACCACTTTGGGACATATACCCGAAGGATGCACACTCTCACTGCAAGGACATTTGCTCAATTATGTTCATAGCAGCTTTATTCATAATAACCAGAACTTGGAAGCAACCTAGAAGCCCCTCAACCAAAGAATGGTAAGGAAAATGTGATACACTTACACAATGGAGTAATAGTCAGTGGCAAAACAAAAAACAAAAAACAAAAAAACCCAATGACATCTTGAAAATTGCAGGCAAAAGGACATAACTAGGAAAAGCCATCCTGAGTAAGATAACCCAGACCCAGAAAGACAAATATAGTATGCACTCATTCATAAGTGGATATTAGATATAAAGCAAAGGACAACCAGCCTATAGGCCACAATGCCAGAGAACCTAGGTAACAAAAGAGGACCTTAAGAGAGACATACACGGATTTGCCTGGGAAGGGGAAAAAGACAAGATCTCCTAAGTAAATTGGGAGCATTGGGGCAAGGGAGGGTGGAAGGGGAGAGGGGAGAAGGGAAAATATATATCTCACTAAAAATTAAAATAAAAGACTGTTACTGGGAAATTTAACTAGAATAAAAGAAAGAATTCCATGCATGACAACAGTGAGAAGTTCCAAGATGACAGCTGTATAACAGATGTAGAAAACAACCATCCAATATAAAGGGGAACTGGTATCTTGGAAGACACAGGAATCTCCACATGCAGAATTACACTGGAAGGCAACTGGAATTATGGGAAGATTTAGATAAGTACTATTGGTAAAGAAAATGAAAACCCCAGACAATTATTAATGTCAAGACAATAGGGGGAAAGCATAATTATTACATAGCAAAGTCTCTAACACATTGCAAGTCCAACTTTATCAAAGAGTCAGTTGATAATGTGTGGGATAAAAATACATTTTTAAAAATCACTGCCAGAGGAGGTGACCAAAAATGCCTAAAAATGGCTGCATCTTGGAGAGAAACAAAGGGGAGAGAAGGTGGGGTCATTGTATTTTAAGTCTCACAGTGTTTGTTTTTTATTCTGGCTACATTTTATTCTGGGGTAACAGGAATTTTAAAATGTTGGTAACCTGGGGTTCTTACAAGTCTCACCACCAGTAGAAAGTGGTAATGGGATAAGAGGCATTGTTGATAATAATATGGAAAGCTAAATAATACTAACAGTTTTGAAAACTAGAAAAATGACTTTTAATAAAATGAAAGGCACTGAAAGAATTATGAACATATATAACGCAGGACACAATGGACAAGATAAAGATCTACCACCAATGAAAGCATAAGACTGAGGCAACTTAAGAGGCAAATTGTAGCTAGGCATACAGAAGGAAACAATATGCCTGCACCTGTTTTGATCTGCAAAAGCAGATGGAAGTCTTCTTCACTCTTCTATGAGGCCAGGATGACAATCTACTACCCAAATCATATAAGTTAAACATGAAGGGAAACTTGGGGGCAGAGATATCCTAAAAACAGGTTGACATAGCAAATATTCCTGTGCATCAAAACTAATTTGTCATGGTTAAGTTCAATTTATGTTAAGGACACAAGAATTTAAAAGCTAGGTAACATATGGACAATTTAAACAAATATTTTTTTTAAAAAAATTGTGAATTAAATTGAAAGCATCCTTGATTTTAAAGTCTCAGCTGGGTGGTTGTGGCACAAGCCTTTAATCCTAGCACTTGGGAAGCAGAGGGAAGAGAATCTCTGTGAGTTTGAGGCCAGCCTGGCCTACAAAGAAAGTTCTCAGACAACTACAGCCACACAGAGAGACCCTGTATTGGACAAAAATGAATAAACAAAAATCTCAGTATTTTTCTCTGGGGACAGCCATCATAAAGACCCAATATCAAAGCACTTCCACAAATGCAAAACTGAGCTACTTGCTACAGCCAGTACCAGAGCATTTGCTGGGTACAGGAGATCTTGGTAATTAATGCCAATATATATTACTTACAGAAGATAGAGTGTGAAAATTGTGGAGCAGAAAGTATTGTATAAGGTACAGAAGAATGAAGACCTTGAAATTGGAAGAATTGTCCAAGTCACAAGAAACTGGAGAAAACCCTAGTTTTTCTGTGTTAATACATGATTGCTAAGTGGTTTACAAATAACACAATGTGTGTTTCTCTTTCATAATCTTTACCGTCAACTTTTGAAATAGGAGTTTTTTAGATTTTCTTAAATTTTGGTGGGGAATCAGGGTTTTTGTAAACCCTGGAGCAGAATCCCTTTAATCTGCCATCTTTTTGCTCTATTCTTGAAAAAAGAATAGCACTTGTACAACGCAAGGTGGCGCTGCAGGCTAAAAAGAGGAAAGGAAAGGGACAGGGAAGGGGGCGAAAACCTCACAAAGGATAGACTAGGTTCCTGACAAAGCCATAGGAAATGACACAGCAGTTGCAAGCGCTACGAGAAGGTGCCTCTGTCTTCTCACAGGAGTTGCTAATGGCCTAAGGATCAATCCTAAGGATTCTGCTGCTGGCATTCCAGGGAGCTGATCTTTGTTTTTACTGTGTAAGTCTTAGGAAGAATGGAGGTCAGACTGGAAAGACCTGTGCAGAAAAGGCAAGTACTGCTTCTTTGTGTATTTCTGGGAGCATCTTGGGCTGGCTCCGAGCAGCTTCAGTATTTTGTGGCAGAGGAAACTGAGAGAGGCACTTTGCTGGCCAATCTAGCTAAAGATTTGGGGTTGGGGCTGGGGGAACTGTCAGCTCGGGGCGCTAGAATTGTTTCAGACCAGAACACACGGTTTTTACTGCTCAATCTGCTCACTGGAGACTTAATTCTAAATGAAAAGTTGGACCGGGAGGAACTGTGCGGCCCCACAGAGCCATGTGTGCTGACTTTCCAGTTGCTGTTGGAAAACCCATTTCAGATTCATCGTGCTGCACTGCATGTCAGAGATATAAATGATAATTCCCCAGTGTTTCTAGACAAAGAAATTCCCTTGAAAATATCAGAAAGTATGACACCAGGGACGACGTTTCTCTTGGAGAGGGCACAGGATTCCGATGTGGGAACAAACAGCCTGAATAACTACACCATCAGTCCCAATGCCTATTTCCACATTCACGTGCATGACGGAGAGGAGGGCACTATCTTTCCTGAATTAGTACTGGATCAAACGCTGGACCGAGAGGAATTAGCTGAGTTCACTTTAACTCTTACAGCCTTAGATGGTGGATCTCCGCCCAGATCCGGGACAGCCCTGGTTCGAATCCTGGTGTTAGACATAAATGACAACTCCCCTGAGTTCGTGCAGTCCCTCTACAAAGTCCAGTCACATGAAAACACTCCTGTTGGTTCCTTGGTTGTTGCTGTGTCTGCTAGGGATTTAGACACGGGAAGTTATGGAGAGATAACATACACATTTTTTTATGCCACTGAAAGAATACTCCAAACATTTCAAATCAATTCCACAACTGGCAAAATTTATCTTAAAGGCAAACTCAACTACGAAGCAATTCAAAGTTACTCGATAACTATACAGGCTAAAGATGGCGGGGGACTTTCTGGGAAATGTACTGTGGTTGTAGAGGTAATGGATGTAAATGATAACCCACCTGAACTTCTCATGTCATCATTTACAAGCCCAATTGCTGAAAACTCACCAGAGACGGTCGTTGCTGTTTTTAGAATTAGAGACAGAGATTCAGGAAACAATGGGAAAACCATGTGCTCCATTCCACATGATCTCCCTTTTGTCCTGAAACCATCTGTGGAAAATTTCTACACCCTGGTAACAGAGATGCCTTTAGATAGAGAACTGCACACCGAGTACAACATCACCATCACAGTCACCGACATGGGCACACCCAGGCTCACAACCCAGCACACCATAACAGTGCAGGTGTCTGATGTCAACGACAATGCCCCTGCCTTCACACAAAGCTCCTACACCCTGTTTGTCCAGGAGAACAACAGCCCCGCCCTGCACATAGGCACCATCAGCGCCACAGACTCAGACTCAGGCTCCAATGCCCACATCACCTACTCGCTGCTGCCCACCCACGACCCGCAGCTGGCCCTGGATTCGCTCATCTCCATCAATGCAGACAACGGGCAGCTGTTTGCGCTCAGGGCGCTGGATTATGAGGCCCTGCAGACCTTCGAGTTCCGTGTGGGCGCTACAGACCAAGGGTCGCCAGCACTCAGCAGCCAGGCATTGGTGCACGTGCTCGTGCTGGACGCCAATGACAATGCGCCCTTTGTGCTCTACCCTCTGCAGAACGCCTCTGCACCTTGCACTGAGCTGCTGCCCAGGGCAGCAGAGACAGGCTACCTGGTCACCAAGGTAGTGGCTGTGGACCGCGACTCTGGCCAGAATGCATGGTTGTCATTCCAGCTGCTCAAGGCTACGGAGCCTGGGCTATTCACCGTGTGGGCTCACAATGGCGAGGTGCGCACCTCCAGGCTGCTGAGTGAGCGCGATGCTCCCAAGCACAGGCTGCTGCTCCTGGTCAAGGATAATGGCGATCCTCAGAGGTCTGCCAGTGTCACTCTGCATGTGCTGGTGGTGGATGGCTTCTCTCAGCCCTACCTGCCTCTGCCTGAGGTGGCGCACGACCCCACACATGATGAAGACTCACTCACCCTATACCTGATCATCGCCTTGGCGTCTGTGTCTTCGCTCTTCCTCATGTCTGTGCTGCTATTTGTGGGGGTGAGGCTGTGCAGAAGGGCCAGGACAGCCTCGCTTGGTGGCAGCTCTGTGCCTGAAGGACACTTTCCTGGCCACCTGGTGGATGTTAGCAGGGTAGGGACACTGTCCCAGAACTACCAGTATGAGGTGTGTCTGACTGGAGGGTCAGGGATAACCAGCGAATTTAATTTCTTAAAACCAATTGCCCCCAACTTCTTAACCGAAAGCGCAGGGAGAGAAGCAGAATAAATACCAAAACCTTCTGCCTGTGGATATAGCCCTTGTTTAAAGTATGCCCTTGTTTCCTGTAGGAAAATGATTTTATGCTAACATCTTGAGGTTAATTAAATTAGTTCAGAAAAGAATTCCTTTGCTTATTCCCAAGAACTTTCTCTCAAGCACGAAATCCATATGTTGCAGGCTATCTAGGATTTAATTTGATTCCTCTTTGTTTTTAAGCATTTGTTGAATTGCAATCTATTGAATGACAAATCTTGCTAGAGATGGTTTAAACTTTTTTCCATTACCTAATTTCTTCATTGATACTTATTTTCTGACTTGATTGAAATCACATGTAAAAATGGCAATCTTATATTTTGGGAGTTTATACTACACAGACTTTTCTTAAGTTTCTTTAGTAATTACTGTGCATCATACATAATTTCATCACTTTTTGGAGACATGGTTTCCCTGTATCCAGGACTGCCTTGAACTGCTGGTTCACCTGCCCCAGATTTCCAAACTGCTGGCATGATAGACATCAGCTTATATTACTACTGCATTTCAGAAGAAACCAATGAGTAGAGGTATTTCAATAATGAGCAGGTAGATGTTCATAGAGATTTGCTAAGTTCAACAATCATTAGTTGGCAAAGCGGAGCACCTCCTAATTCTTTCTGATTTGTTTCTCTTGTTTGAAGTGTGAGAGAGTCCTCATTCTTTCTATCTCCAGGCAGGTGACTTTCCAACTATATTATGCTGTTTTCTATCATTAGGTATCATCTGTCATGTTCACATTGCTCAACAATCTCTCCTGTGTTCAGAAATAGCAATGCTCTTCTTGGACTTATAAACTGATAACCTCTTTTGGGGTTTATTACTCAACTAGTGTTAAAGCTGTGACTTAACTAAAACTCGAGTTCCAAAATGGTTGGCTTTGGGCATGGTATTTAATTAAAGGCATGGCTGGGCATGCCTTTAATCCCAGCACTTGGGAGGCAGTTACAGGGGGATATCTATGAGTTTGAGACCAGTCTGGTATACATTGAAATTTCAATGACAGCCAAGGCTGCATAGAAAGACCCTGCATAGGGAAGGAGGAGGGGAGAGAAGGACAGGAGGAGAAAGAAGAGGTTGAGGATTTCTACATAAAATTTCCATATGTTGTTGGGTTACTTTCCCTCCACCATCTGTTTTGCATTTGTAAGATGAGGAGTTCACAGAAAACCTAGGATCTAGATGGCAATATGTCATCTGTAGTAGAGAAAACTAGGGCAGCGAGATTAAATGATATTCCTAAGGATCACAACTGTTTCTGTGGTTTATCACACTAAAAGTATATAATTCCTAAAACCTTCTGTTTCTAGAAACATACATGCACACACATATGTATATATTTCTTGCGTATATTTTTCCTTCCAGGTTGTTATTTAAATGTGTATCCCTTGTTCAAAGCTCAATTAGCATTACTGTAAAAGTGTCCACCAATGCTTTATCTCTTGTGTGGCTTTCGGGCAGTTGTCTCCCCAAGAAGGCAAAGTAATAGGAGAGGTAATGCAACCTTACCTTGCCCACTGTTAGATATGGGCAGCTTTAGTTTTGTTTTTTATTTTTATTTTTTTATCCATTTTCATCCCACAAAAATGTTAAGATGCAGTGAGAACACTTGGTGGCGCTGCAGGATAAGAAAGTAAAGTAGAAGGCAGCTGTGGCTCCATTAACAGGCAAGGGAAAAGAAAAAAAAAGGAAAAGGAAAAACCTCCGGAAGTCTGGAAGCCTAGAGAAGCTCTGGACATCTAAGAGAGGAGGTCTGCACCCTCGGGAAAGGACTGGAATAAATCTCAGGTATCTAATGAGATAACTACTGTACCAGATACCAGGGGGATTTACAGTTCTACTGAAACATCCTCCAGGACTCTGCACCACAGCAAACAATGGAGGCCAGCAGGAAGCTCACTTGCAGACAAAGGCAAGTCCTTTTTTCCTTTTTCCTATTAGGGTTATATCTGGTAAGTGCAGAGGAACTGAGGCGCTATTCTGTGGTGGAGGAAAGGGAGGGTAGGTCCTTTGTAACCAATTTAGTAAATGACCTAGGTCTTGGGCAGCTGGAGCTGCCCAGGCGAGGGGCTAAGGTCATTTCCAAAGGGAACAAACTACATTTACAGCTGGATCAGGAGACAGGGGATTTGTTGTTAACTGAGAAAGTGGATCGGGAGGAACTGTGTGGACACACAGAGCCATGCCTGCTACGTTTCCAGGTGTTGCTGCACAATCCCTTAGATATTTTTCAAGCGGATCTACAAATAACAGACATAAATGACCACTCTCCAGCATTCCTAGACAAGGAAATCAGGCTAAAAATATCAGAAAGCAGTCTTCCTGGGACTACGTTTCCTCTGAAGAATGCCCAGGACATGGATGTGGGCCAAAATGGTATTGACAGCTATCTTGTCAGCCCCAATTCCTATTTTCACGTACTCACTCGAAAACGCAGTGATGGCAAGAAATACCCTGAGCTGGTTCTAGATAGAGCGCTGGATAGAGAGGAAGAAGCTGAGCTCGGGTTAATCCTCACAGCACAGGATGGTGGTTCTCCACCCAGGTCTGGCACCACCAAGGTCCACATTGAAGTCCTGGACTTCAATGACAATGCCCCCCAATTTGAGCAGCTTTTTTATAGGGTACAGATCCCTGAGGACAGTCCAATAGGCTTTCTGATCATCACCGTTTCAGCTACAGATAAGGACATAGGAGTCAATGGACAGATCTCCTATTCACTTTTCCAGGCTTCAGATGATATTAGCAAAACCTTTTCTATTCACCCCTTGACGGGGGAAGTGCGGTTGAAAGAACAACTTGATTTTGAAAAGACTCAGTCCTATGAAGTCAATATTGAGGCCAGAGATGCTGGAACCTTTTCTGGAAAATGCACAATTCTGACCCAAGTCATGGACGTGAATGACCATGCTCCAGAGATTATCCTGTCTGCATTTACTAACCCCATCCCGGAGAATTTACCAGAAACTATGGTCGCAGTTTTTAGTGTGTCTGATCTAGATTCCGGAGAAAACGGAATACTAAGTTGTTCCATTCAAGACGATCTACCCTTCTTCCTAAGGCCTTCTGGGGAAAACTTTTACACACTATTAACACAAAAACCACTGGACAGAGAGACAACAGCAGAGTACAACATCACCATCACCGTTGCAGACATGGGGAGTCCGATGCTGAGAACACAAGTCAACATAACAGTGCAGATCTCCGATGTCAACGACAACGCCCCCAACTTCACACAAACCTCCTACACCCTGTTTGTCCAGGAGAACAACAGCCCCGCCCTGCACATAGGCACCATCAGCGCCACAGACTCAGACTCAGGCTCCAATGCCCACATCACCTACTCGCTGCTGCCCACCCACGACCCGCAGCTTGCCTCAATTATCTCTATCAACGCAGACAACGGGCAGCTGTTTGCTCTCAGAGCTCTGGACTATGAGACCCTGCAGACCTTTGAGTTCCACGTGGAAGCCACAGACCAAGGCTTGCCAGCACTCAGCAGCCAGGTGCTGGTGCACGTGCTCGTGCTGGATGCCAATGATAATGCGCCCTTCGTGCTCTACCCTCTGCAGAACGCCTCTGCACCTTGCACTGAGCTGCTGCCCAGGGCAGCAGAGCCAGGCTACCTGGTCACCAAGGTGGTGGCTGTTGACCGCGACTCTGGCCAGAATGCCTGGCTGTCATTCCAGCTGCTCAAGGCCACAGAGCCAGGACTGTTCACCATGTGGGCTCACAACGGTGAGGTGCGCACTGCCAGGCTGCTGAGTGAGCGCGATGCTCCCAAGCACAGGCTGCTGCTAATGGTCAAGGACAATGGCAATCCTCAGAGGTCTGCCAGTGTCACTCTGCATGTGCTGGTGGTGGATGGCTTCTCTCAGCCCTACCTGCCTCTGCCTGAGGTGGCACGCGACCCCACACTGGAGGAAGACTCGCTCACGCTATACCTGGTCATTGCCTTGGCATCTGTGTCTTCGCTCTTCCTCTTGTCTGTGCTGCTGTTCGTGGGGGGTGAGGCTGTGCAGGAGGACCAGGGGGTCCTCTATGGATGGCTGCTCTGTGCCCGCAGGTCACTTTCCTGGCCACTTGGTGGATGTCGGTGGAATGGGTACCCTGTCCCAGAGCTACCAGTATGAAGTGTGTCTTACAGGGGACTCTGGGACTGGTGAGTTCAAATTCCTGAGACCAACTTTACCTAATTTCCAAGGCCATCCTCTTGGACCAGAAATGGAGGAAAATTCCAACAGTAGAAATGACTGGGGTTTCAGCATTCATTTAAAATAACTGTTATGGTGTGTGTGTGTGTGTGTGTGTGTGTGTGTGTGTGTGTGTGTGAGATCACATGTAGTGTTTTGTTGTTGTTAGAAACTGAAACTACTGTTCTTGTTGTTCTCATTATGAAAATTTGAAGCATGCTGAAATCTTGTTTGTAGGATATCCTGGCCGTGGTTTTAGTGAGCTTATCTCATCTATTCTTCAGAACAGAAAATGGAATGTTCTGGTATTTTCTTTCTAATGTGTCATGAGTTGCACACTTCTTTGTTCTGGGATAGCTTAGGAATGTACAAGAGAAGAAATGTAAAATCAGTTCAACCTAGTCAGATGTGGCTTAGCATGTGTTCTGTTCCTACTTGTTAGCCATCAAGAGCACATGCTATACCACATTGCTCAAACGCAATGGAATGTAATCAGACAGGGGAAAGAAGGGCACACTGAGGGGCCTAACTATTGCTTTATTTAGCCTCCATGGACTAACTTGTTTGTTGGTGTTTTCTCTTTGAAATATTATGTTCCTCATTGGCCTGTTACTACTTTTAACGTCACTATTTTAAATTGCTTTTCTGCTGTGTTTTGTTGGGGTTGAGGAGGGTTCAGATAGCCACCCCTTATTTACCTGGTTAGCTGAAATAACACAGCAGTAAAATTGACTTTTCTCTTCTGAGAAATGTTTGCCAGTGAAAGAAACTGCCCCTGTCAATATTCATTGCCCCAACACCTTCTTGACTGTAGTATTCCAAATTCCATTCTATTAACATGCTGAGTCAAAAGAATACATTTTCACATTCCTCTTTGGCAAATATAGGTGGGCATATAGATTGGTGATAGTGGAATGTAAAAAGAATCAGCTTCCAAAGGCTTACAATTGAGGATACACCCAGGGCCCCGTGCATGCTGTGTAAGGACTGCATCGCTGATAGATCAGTGCAAACCTCCAAGAACACTTTTAAAAGGAGATGTCTCACTTAAAAGTGGATTCCCCCTTTTCAACCTTTAATGTGGTTGTTATCCTTTGTGTCTCGATCCCTTTGGGGTCACGTATCAGATATCCTGCCTATCAAATATTTACACCAATATTCATAACAGTAGCAAGTTTACAGTTATGAAGTAGCAATGAAATAATTGTATGGTTAGGGGTCACCACATGAGGAACTGTATTCAAGGGTCAAAGCATTAGAAAGGATGAGAACCACTGCTTTAACACCATGTTCTCCTTGGGATGTAATGGATGGTATGATGAGTGCAAAAATGACACAAATAATCTGTGGGAGGAATGGAGGGCTGAAGTAGTACCACAGGAACTTAATAGAGACAGGGTCCCTGGTGGCTCCGGAGTTGTCATATTATTCCCTATGTTGTCAGTTCCTAATTATATGTAGACGTGTCTGCATGCGGATATGTACATATGGGTTCAGGTTCCCTCAGAGGACAGAGCCATTGGATCCCTTTGATCTGAAGTCACAGAGTGCCCCAAGCTGCCAGTTCTGGATTTTGAGAACCAAATTCAGGTCCTCTGCAAAAGCAACAAATACTCTTAACCACAGAGCAGTCTTTCCAGCCCCTACATTCATTATGTTTTAAATACCCCTCCGTGTGTGTGTGTGTGTGTGTGTGTGTGTGTGTGTGTGTGTATGTGTGTGTGTGTGTGAATACCACCTGTTGTCAAATGAAGATACATAAAGATCATTAGAACAAGAGTTTAGGTTTCATTGGTTTGATGAATCCAATTAACAACAGTGAGTTAATAAGGGTATCAATATCCATGTGGCTCTGGGGTTCAAACCCTGAGTCTTATGCATACTAAAGGTACTCTATCATTGTACCTCCTGATCTGTCCATCATTAATTTTCACTGCAACTCAATTCAAACTACAGAAACAGAAAATCTAAACAAAAGTGATTACAAAGGTAATCTAGGATTTCAGTACAGAATTTAAAATCTATTTTAAAATTTAAATAGAATTCAGTAGAATAAATTTAAATCTATTTTTAAACACACACAACTCAATCAATAAAAGATGAACAATTGAATTAAAAATAAGCAAAGACCAGAATAGATATTTTCCAAAGAAGATATACCAATGGCTAAAATACACCTGAAGAGCTGTACAACATTGCTCATCAAATCAACATCACAAGAAGACATTCAGACTTACTAGGATGGCGAGGACCAAAGAGTCAAATCAGTGTTGGGATGATGTCATAATTCTGAAACTCTGACACATAGCTGATGTGATGTAAAATACTCAGCCATTTGGGAAAGCAGCCTCAGTTTTTCATATAGGTAAACATAGAGCTATCACATGGTAAGCAATTCAACTCCTAGGTTAAAAAAATGTATATCAACATAAAACATGAACTTGAGCTGGGCAGTGGTGATGCTCACTTTTAGGAAGTCAAAGGCCGGTGGAGTTCAAGGCCAATCTGGTCTACAGGACCAGTCCTGGGATAGCTAGGGCTATGCAGAGAAACCCTATCTCAGAAAATCGTGTGTGTGTGTGTGTGTGTGTGTGTGTGTGTGTGTGTGTGTTTGTGTGTGTGTGTGTACATGACTCTTCATAGCAACATTATTCAGAGAAGCAAAAGGGTAGAAACATTTCAGATGTCCAAATAAACATGATCCTGCTACAGCCAGAAAAATTAATGCAGTTCTGACACATGCTAAAATTTGTATGAATCTTGAAAGTATCAGGCCAAGGGAGGGAAGCTGACCTCAAAAGACCACATATTCTGTCATGCCATTCACATGTAGGTCTACAATAGAGAACTCTGTAGAAACAGAGAAACAGAGAGAGGGAGGGAGGGAGGGAGAGAGAGAGAGAGAGAGAGAGAGAGAGAGAGAGAGAGAGAGAGAGAGAGAAATGATTCCTTTGGGCTCTGCATAGAAGAAATAAGGGAATAAGATGATAGCTACAGGATGAGAGGCTCTTCTTTGACTCCAAACCTGACCTTAATGATGGGTGCATACCTTGTATATATATATCAAAAGGCACTAAGCTTTATCTTTAAAATAGATGTATTTAAGTGTATGTTATATACAAAACTGTATATTTAAAAAATACAGGCACTATTCATGCCAAATATAAAAATAAATCTAGGCCCTCATATGTATACTTATGAAATAATTTTCCGGTGATTGAGCATTGGGGAAACTCGCAGTTCTTTCCTTTGGATGTTGGAGAGAAGTAATCCATTCATTCTTGTATAATGTATAATGAAGCATGTTATACATTCTGTAGAATTCACTGGTTGATATTTTGCATTGTCCACTCATTTGTAACTGTGTAGTGTGTGTGGTGTAAAATATGTGTGTGTGTGTGAAACCTTCCCCATGCTATTTTTGAGACTTTACCCCTCAATGCAAATGTTGATTACACTATCTTATTCAGCCATTGGTACATCAGCATCATTACATACTCAATAGCATGAGTGAAAATTTACTTTTGTACTTAGTTTCATACATTATCTCAGAATTTTATTTATACACACAAAAACAACTTGAAAAAATTAATGATTCACATTATAGCATAGTCCACATGTTTTGGAGAATTTTGTCTCTTGTTAAATCTGAAAGCGCAAGGCCCAGTGAGACCGCGCGGTGGCGCTGCAGGTTAAGGAGACAGAGCTTAGGAACTGCTTCTGCAATTTCCTCTCAGGGCCAGTTTCTCACCACCTAGAAGCAAAAGATGTGCTCTCTTCGGCCAAAGCAAAGGAGGGTGTAAAACTTTAAATTTCCCATCTGGGGGCTTGATTCCGACGTTCTGGACTGTGAGACAGTGCTGTCATCATCCTGGGCCCAGGAAAAGCTATCAAAAAGCAAACAGGAAAGAGGAAAGAGCCATGGAGCACAAACCGAGACAAAGGCAAGTCCTGATTTTCTTTGTTTTGCTGAGTGTGTCTGAGGCAGGCACGGAACTGGGTCCCTATTCCATAGAGGAAGAAGTGGAGAGGGGTACCTTTGTGGCAAATCTTGGGAAAGATCTGGGGGTGCAGCTGGCAGAGATATCTACCCGCAGGGCTCGGATAATTTCTCAGGAAAACAAAGAGCATTTGCAGCTCAATGTTCAATCTGGAGATTTGCTCATAAATGAGAAACTAGATCGAGAGGAGCTATGTGGCTCTACTGAGCCTTGTGCTCTTCATTTCCAAGTGCTAATGGAAAACCCTTTAGAGGTATTTCAGGCTGAACTGAGAGTGAAGGACATAAATGACCATTCTCCGGTGTTCAGTGAAAAAGAGATGGTACTGAGAATACCAGAAAACAGTCCTCTGGGAAGTACATTCCCTTTAAACAATGCTCTGGACTCAGACGTGGAAATTAACAACATTCAGAGCTATAAGGTCAGCTCGAACCCTCATTTCCTGGCTGTAACCCGCAACCGCAGTGATGGCAGGAAGTACCCAGAGCTGGTGCTGGAGAAAGAACTGGATCGCGAGGAGGAGCCTGAGCTAAGGTTAACACTCACAGCCTGGGATGGTGGCTCTCCTCCCCGGTCTGGGATGGCACGGGTTCTCATTGAAGTAGTGGACATCAATGATAATGCACCCGAGTTTCAGCAACCAACGTACCAAGTGCAAATTCCGGAGAACCCGCCCCACGGGGTCCCTGGTAGTCACAGTCTCAGCCAATGACTTAGACAGCGGAGATAATGGGAAAGTGTTGTATGCACTTTCTCAGCCTTCAGAAGATGTCAGCAAGACGTTAGAAGTAAATCCAGTAACAGGGGAAATTCGGCTGCGAAAAGAGGTAGATTTTGAAACAATTCCCTCTTATGAAGTGGATATTAAGGCCACGGATGGGGGAGGTCTCGCGGGAAAATGCACTCTGCTCCTGCAGGTAGTGGACGTGAATGATAATCCCCCAGAAGTGATGCTGTCTGCACTTACCAGCCAAGTTCCAGAAAACTCGCCGGATGAGGTAGTTGCTGTTTTCAGTGTTAGAGATCCTGACACAGGGAAGAATGGGAAGGTGATTTCCTCCATCCAGGAGGACATTCCCTTCCTTCTAAAACCTTCAGGAAAGAACTTTTACACTTTAATAACGAAGAGAGCGCTTGATAGGGAAGAAAGAGAACAATACACCATCACCATCACAGTTACCGACCTGGGCACACCCAGGCTCACAACCCAGCACACCATAACTGTGCAGGTCTCAGACGTCAACGACAATGCCCCCAACTTCACACAAACCTCCTACACCCTGTTTGTCCAGGAGAACAACAGCCCCGCCCTGCACATAGGCACCATCAGTGCCACAGACTCAGACTCAGGCTCCAATGCCCACATCACCTACTCCCTGCTGCCCACCCATGACCCGCAGCTGGCTCTCTCCTCGCTCATCTCCATCAATGCAGACAATGGGCAGCTCTTCGCGCTCAGAGCTCTGGACTATGAGACCCTGCAGACCTTTGAGTTCCACGTGCGCGCCACAGACCAAGGATCGCCAGCCCTCAGCAGCCAGGCCCTGGTGCGTGTGCTTGTGCTGGATGCCAATGATAATGCGCCCTTCGTGCTCTACCCTCTGCAGAACGCCTCTGCACCTTGCACTGAGCTGCTGCCCAGGGCAGCAGAGCCAGGCTACCTGGTCACCAAGGTGGTGGCTGTTGACCGCGACTCTGGCCAGAATGCCTGGCTGTCATTCCAGCTGCTCAAGGCTACGGAGCCAGGGCTGTTCAGTGTGTGGGCTCACAATGGTGAGGTGCGCATCTCCAGACTGCTGAGTGAGCGTGATGCTCCCAAGCACAGGCTGCTGCTGCTGGTCAAGGACAATGGCAATCCTCAGAGGTCTGCCAGTGTCACTCTGCAGGTGCTGGTGGTGGATGGCTTCTCCCAGCCCTACCTGCCTCTGCCAGAGGTGGCGCGCGACCCCACACTGGAGGAAGACTCCCTCACGCTGTACCTGGTCATTGCTTTGGCTTCTGTGTCTTCGCTCTTCCTCTTGTCTGTGCTGCTGTTCGTGGGAGTAAAGCTGTGCAGGAGGGCCAGGACGGCCTCGCTGGGTGGCTGCTCTGTTCCTGAGGGCCACTTTCCTGGTCACCTGGTGGATATCAGTGGAGCAGGGACTCTGTCCCAGAGCTACCAGTATGAGGTATGTCTGATGGGCGATTCTTCTGGGACCAGCGACTTCAAATTCTTGCAGCCAGTTCACCCTAGCTCCCTGCCCCAGTGCTCTGGGAAAGAAATAGTGGAAAATTCTACTCTCCGCAATAGTTTGGGATTTAATCATTATTAGAAAGCTACTTAATAGATATTTACTTCCCAACATCATCTTGTTGATTAAATTCTGTATACTTGTTAGTAACAACAACTTTGATTTTCCATTTACTCATCACTTTTCAGGTTTATGCTTAATGTCGTAGTGTTGGTTTTACTCTTATTTATCACATAGAATTTCTTCATATGAGCCCAGTAAATAAAAAAAGCTTTATCTGCACAGTTAAAGTGACTGCTAAAACTTTCCTATCACTTTGCTTTTGTTGACCTCATTAGTTCTGCACATTTCATGTCAATGTTCTGTTCCTAGGCTTCTTGAATTATTAAAATATTGTGCTGCTCATTATGTACATATATACTACCTGGTACTTCTGCATTTCCTTTCTATGCTGGCTGTCTTGTTTATTAGTCCTTGGTTTTAATTACATATAATACTTGTCTTTTGCCGTGCAACCATTTTAGAATTCTAAATTTCTTTGTTTGTATATCTTGATTTGAAATGAATTTCTGTTGTAAGTAATAGAAATATCTATTCAATCTGAAAACAAACATGTTGTAAGTTATTGAGTTTGTGTAGATGTGTCTAAATTTAAGGGTGTGACGGCAAATTTTGTCATTCTAAGGCATCAAATAGAAGCATTTAATAATTCATTTTAATTCTGCATGGGAACCTTAGAGATAGACTTTGAGTTTCCAATGGCTTACAATCCAGTCGCATTCTGTAGAATAAACAGTGTATGTATATCACCAAGTAGATGTTGTGAATTTTCTATGCTGTGACTTTTCTATGCAGCAGAGCTGGGGTTTGAGGCACTATCTAATCTTTTTTTTTTATGTATACACCCTAAGGTTTAATCTATGTAGTTTGCTCATAGTGAGAACCATAGATCATTCTAGGCTTTTGAATAAAATTCTTTGTAAGGAACATATTTTATTGATACATCCTTGCTTCCAACATCAATAAGATATGTGTTAGTCATAGTATTGGTCTTTTATTTAATGCACAGTAGTTATGTCATATTAGATTTCATTAAGAGGGTCACTTAAACAAAGGTGGGGCTTTTGTTCAACTATATAGATGGTGGCTATTATAAGAAAATAAATACAAATTAAAGGAAAGGAACAGTTTCAAAGTGTTAAGTGAAATAATATGATTTTCAGATGGTAGGGACTAGTGGACATTGGCTGTTTCTTGTCCTCTTCATAGTTCATTTGTGTGCACTTTGATTCAATAAACATTAGTGACTGAATGACTTGCCAAAGACACAGTTTCCATCCCATATATGTCACCTATTGAAGGGGTGGGGGAGGTTTATGAAGCTGGAAGCAGTGCTATTTACATAATAAATACAAGTCACAATAGTACACATTCTGTGTCACAGGGGACGGATGGCATGATGGCTCAGTTCTGGATGCAGAGTAGCACTTCTCTTAAAGGAATGTGATACAGAGTGTGAATAAGATTTCTGGAGAATGTGTGAATCATTTCTTTTGCCCGTTTCCTGTGCTCCTGCGCACAGGAATTGTGGAATATGTTGTCAAAAGACGTGCTGACAATTTTTCTTTGCTTGCATGAGCCTGTGCCAGGGATGAAAGGACTGGCATGGAGTTCAATCTAGCAGTGAAACAACTTTACCACTACAAACCTATTCAAATGTCAGAATTTTAACTTTCCCATGAAGCTGTGAAGAATCAGTATGAAGGTATCTCTATCTCAGCATTACATTCACAAAACAAACAAAATGAAAAAATTAAAACAAGCGACTGTACACATAAAACTAGGAAATAGCGTTTTCAATCTGTTCGTGGCCACATGGTGGCGCTGCAGGCTAAAGAGACATGAGGAAAATTAACTGAGGCTGCACCAGAAGTCACTAACCAAAGAAGGAAAATCCTGACCACTGGGAGAAAAGCTGAGGCTCCTCAAGACTGAGAAAGGGAAAAGAAATCCTGGACACTTCCAGTTAAGTGGAACATCTAAGGTTTATAACCGCTGGGAGCTGTGGCTGGGCCTGCAGTGAGGAAATAAGAAACAATGGCAGCTAGAGGGTCACGCTTCTCCCGACAAAGGCAAGTGCTATTTCTGTTTCTGTTCGGGGGTCTGTGTTCGGCAGGTTCTATGTTTGGACCTTATTCAGTAACTGAGGAAACAGAAAGGGGATCATTTGTGGCGAATCTGGCAGAGGATCTGGGGCTAGAGGTGGAAACCCTGGCTGCAAAGAGAACTAGGGTGGCATCTGATGACAACAAGCAGCATTTGCTCCTGGATTTTCACACTGGAAATTTGCTCACAAATGAGAAACTGGATCGAGAGAAGCTGTGTGGCTCCACAGAGCCCTGCATACTGTATTTCCAAATTTTAATGGATAACCCCTTTCAGATTTACCGGGCTGAGCTGAGAATCGTGGATATAAATGACCACTCACCCTCATTCCAGGACAAAGAGATGATTTTAAAAATACTAGAAAACACAGCTGTAGGAACAGCATTTCGCTTAGAGAGAGCACTAGACTCAGATGGAGGACGTAATGGCATCCAAAACTATACCATCAGCCCCAATTCTGTTTTTCATATTGCAATTCATGGCAATGATGAAGGGATGATATATCCAGAGCTTGTGCTAGATAAGCCTCTAGATTGGGAGGAGGAGCAGGAGTTCAGTTTAACACTCACAGCATTTGATGGAGGGACTCCACCCAGGTCCGGAACAGCCACTATACAAATTCTGGTCATGGACATCAATGATAATGCCCCACAGTTTTCCCAGGAACTTTATCAAACCCAGGCTCCAGAAAATAGCCCAATAGGACTTCCTATTGTTAAAGTCTCTGCAGAAGATGTTGATTCAGGAGTCAATGCAGAAGTATCCTATTCATTTTTTGATGCCTCCGAAGATATTCGAGAAACCTTTCAAATCAACCCTTTCTCTGGGGAAATCGTGCTCAAAGCCGTGCTTGATTATGAGATGGTGAAGTCCTATAAGTTAAATATACAGGCAGCTGATGGTGGGGGCCTTTCTGCTAGATGTACGGTTTTAGTTCATGTTTTAGACATTAATGACAACCCTCCTGAACTGACCATATCATCACTTGTCAATGAAGTTGTTGAAAACTCCCCCGAAACTGTGCTGGCAGTTTTTAGGATTAACGACAGAGACTCTGGAGAAAATGGAAAGACCGTTTGCTATATTCAAGAAAATCTGCCCTTCGATCTAAGACGGTCTGTAGATAATTTTTACATCCTGATGACAGAAGGAGCTCTGGACAGAGAGAGCAGAGCTAAGTACAACATCACCATCACAGTTACCGACCTGGGCACACCCAGACTCACAACACAGCACACCATAACAGTGCAGGTCTCAGACGTCAACGACAACGCCCCCAACTTCACACAAACCTCCTACACCCTGTTTGTCCAGGAGAACAACAGCCCCGCCCTGCACATAGGCACCATCAGCGCCACAGATTCGGACTCAGGCTCCAATGCCCACATCACCTACTCGCTGCTGCCCACCCATGACCCGCAGCTGGCCCTCTCCTCGCTCATCTCCATCAATGCAGACAATGGGCAGCTGTTCGCGCTCAGGGCGCTGGACTATGAGACCTTGCAGACCTTCGAGTTCCACGTGCGCGCCACAGACCAAGGCTTGCCAGCGCTCAGCAGCCAGGTGCTGGTGCAAGTGTTGGTTTTGGACTCCAACGACAATGAACCCTTTGTGCTCTACCCTCAGCAGAACGCCTCTGCACCCTGCACGGAGCTGCTGCCCAGGGCGGCAGAGACAGGCTACCTGGTCACCAAGGTGGTGGCTGTGGACCGTGACTCTGGCCAGAATGCATGGTTGTCATTCCAGCTGCTCAAGGCTACGGAGCCTGGGCTATTCACCGTGTGGGCTCACAATGGCGAGGTGCGCACCTCCAGACTCCTGAGTGAGCGCGATGCTCCCAAGCACAGGCTGCTGCTGCTGGTCAAAGACAATGGCGATCCTCAGAGGTCTGCCAGTGTCACTCTGCATGTGCTGGTGGTGGATGGCTTCTCTCAGCCCTACCTGCCTCTGCCCGAGGTAGCGAGTGACTCTGCCCAGGATGAGGATGAGCTCACTCTGTACCTGGTCATTGCCTTGGCGTGTGTCTCTTTACTATTCCTCTTGTCTGTGTTACTGTTTGTCGGGGGTGAGGCTGTGCAAGAGGGTCAGGGCGAAAGCGCTGAGGGACTGCTCTGTCGCTGAAGGACACTTTTCTAGCCACCTGGTGGATGTCAGCGGCATGGGCACCCTGTCCCAAAGCTACCAATATGAGGTGTGTCTGATGGGAGGCTCAGGTGATACCAGTGATTTCAAGTTCATGAAACCAATTTACCCTGGTGTTCATTCTCATGGTTCCCAGATCAATGCTGATGAAAAGCCCACATTTTGAAGTCTCTAATTTTGCGTAAGGTTTCATCCCATTTAATGGATGTATGATACAGCCATAGGAGTACTAGTTTAGATGGGCAGTAGTTTCGACCCAGCACAACACAGCAGAACTTCATTTTCAACTTCCAAGTAGGTTACATATAAATTTTTCAGTGTTTTTTCATTAGTGATATTTTTTAGTGGAGTATGTACCACTTTAAGTCTGAGGTTTTCATCCTTTCATAGCACACAATAATTTGTTGTCATTTCCCATTACAGAAAATTGAGATTTGGGTTTTTTGTCTTGTCTCCTTTTGTTGCTAATCATTAACCCCAAGCCTTTTGCATGCTAAGCAAATGGTATATCATTGAGATCTATCTCTAACTAGTAACTATTTTTAAAAGTACAGGATTTTTAACTCTCTTTGACTTTGTTTTTTGCCAATTTCATGCATCTATGTTGTGCATTTTGTTTCTTATAACCTCCTCCATCTTCCTGCAATGCCTATTATTTCCCTTTGTTTATGATTTTGAGTATTCTGGTAATTCTTGTGTTAGCATACTAATTAATGAGTGTCTGCAAACATAGGTCATTCATCTCTACCCTCTGCTCTTCCCCTGCTTCCCTTCCTTTTCCCTGCAAGTCTCCCATTCAGCTTTCTTGACACAGCTGTTTCATTGCCCTTCTTGCTCACCTTCCCCAAGAGCTCTTTTTGGTGCTCATTCTTGCTGACATATAAAACAGATTGTGTCATATAATGCAAATACAAGGTAATAGTCTGCATAAAAATCAACATAAATTTGAACACATTTAAAGTTTGTGTGGCAATACTTATGGGCTGTTGGAAAGATACTTTTTATTTTATATTGGAACTTAAAGAACTGTCAAATTTTAAAATTGAAATAAATTAAAGGTTATAGAGAAAACATTTTTTTTTTCATCTCCAGTCACTTTCTACACAGTTGTTCCTCAAATCTGTTCTACTTCAGGTGATATGTTTAGACTGCTTTATCTTCATAATTAACTTTTCTGTGTTACCCACTCAGTGCAAAAGGATTTACAGTTCTTATTTCCCATTAATAGACACGCACACAAGAATTGTGGATTTCCCTTTTCCTAGTTTCCTGGTATAATTGTCAGAAAATGTCAGTTTTGTTTCTGTGGGTTCCAAGGCCTCATAGATGAGTACCATCCATGAAACTAATATTAATATCCACCCAGCTAGGTCTCTTATGTGTGCAGACTTAGTAATGCAGTATTATTACATTTCTTTTCTTGGAAGTATCTTTCCCAGAGTTGATGGCTGCTGTTTTAGATTTGGCTAAATATCTATTTAATACTACTGATTTTTCTGCTCTCTCTTTCCAGGCCAAAGTAGAGGGTTACCATAGGGTGTATCCTCCATTCTTTCTACTGATTTTTCACATGATGGTCCTCTTGATTAACGTTTTTGCCTTCAAATATTCAAATATAAGATACAAACTATTTGTGTTTATTTCCTACAGAGTTTTCATTCATAGCTCTTTTTCATTTAGACTGTTTACCTTATGGCTGTCATGCTTTTTATTATTTTTATTTAATTAATCTGTTTTATATTTTACCTGCCAACCACAGTTCCCCTTCCCTCCTGTCCTCCCATTCCATCCCCCACAAACTGCCTTCTACCCCTTCCCCATCCACTCCTCCCTTCAGAAAGTGTCAGGCCTCACATGGACTTGAAGAAAGCCTGCCAGATCAAATTGAGGTAGGACTGAGTTCCTCTCCCTGCATAAAGGCTGAGAGAGTTGATTCAGCATGGGGAACAGGTTGCCAAAAGCCAGTTAGTCATCTCCAGGGGCAGGTCCTGATCTCACTGCTAGGAGCCTTACAAGCAGGCCAAGCTACATAACTGTCATACACACACACATACACACATGCATGCACACACGCACACACACACGCATGCGTGCACACGCACACGCGCAAGGCACACATAGGCAGGCATGCACGCATGCACACAGAGGGTAGGTCTCATGCAAGCTCCCTAACTGTTGGTCCAGAATCCATGTTCTCCCACTAACTCAGGTCAGCTTCTCTATGAATTCCTCCATCATGACCTGAAGCCCCCTGGCTCATAAAATCCCTCCTCCCTTTCTTCAGGAGGACTCCAGGAGCTAGGCCCAGTATATCTGCTTCCATCAGTTACTGGGCAATGGCTCTCTGGTGACAGTTAAGGTAGTCACAAATCTGATTACAGTAAATGGCCAGTCAAGGTACCCTCTCCACAAGGATGACCTCAGCTAATACCACGAGCAATAGCAGAGAGGTTATCATGCTTTTAATGCTTGTCCCATACTGCCCACCTTTTATAGACTCCAGTATCATTTCTGAGTTTACTTTCTTAATTGGTTGGAATGCAATTTCATTAAAATAGATGCAACTTTTGGTAATTTACATAGTGAAGCAGTCTTTTCGTTTGATTGATAGTTTGACTGGGTATAAAAGTATAATTTGAAAAATTTCCCTCAGAATTAAAAAGCACTTTTTTTTCTTAATTTTGTGGACTTACCTTTCACAAATTCTACTCTAAACTGTATCTCATTTACTGCAATATTTTCCCCTTTCATTCTGGAGGTGTTGGAAATACCATAACAGGAACCATTTATGTGTTAACACTTTCACAAGAACATATACTGTCAATGTTCAGATTCTCAGTTCAAAAACAATTCAATTTTAGTTTGCTGTAATTTATCTCCTACTAATTTTCTAAAACTTTTTATTAAATATTTTATGTAAGCTTTCCCCTTTTTGGCAAATAAACACTTCTAGAACCTTTTCGGTTCTTCTAATTTTTAAAAAAATATTTGTTGGAAATGTAATATGTGTTATTATCTGTAATTTTTCCTCTTAGAATATATTACAAGGACATACTTGTACAGCATTATTAACATTACATAGCCATTTTAAAAATTAGGAGTGAGTCAGGGTAGCTGACGAAATTTACCAAATTATATAGTTTGTACAGGACATTTAAATCCCCCTAATCTATTCTGTTTTCTTTTTTACCTCTTGAAGCAGGTTCTCAAATATTAGTGCAGGGTAGCCTCAAATATGAAATCTTTGTGTCTCTTCTTCTTGAGTATTGGGACTACAGGTAGTATGTAGTAAGTGTATCAGTAAGTATCAGTAAGTGTAAGAATTTATTTGTGTTTTCATGATTTCCAGGTTAGAATTCAGGACTATCCATGGAGTGAGATTATGTGTCCTTGATAGATCTTGTGTTCTACACTCTGAGAACATTGCTACAAAAGAGACTTGAAATCTCACTATGCAAAACTCTAAAGTTCTACTATCCTTTAGTTTAACGTCACATTTTTGTTCAGCATGACTTGTATCAAAGACTAGAAAAAGTGTGTTAATATCTCCAAATCAAGTATCCATTTTCTAACTTGATTAACTTTTCTCTCTGTAGACACAGAACAGAGAATTCAACACTGTAAATACTAATAATACAGTCTCCATCTCATGATTAACTTTAACCTTCCAGTTTCTAGAGTGTTAATGGTGTTCTGGGAGACAAACATTTAATTGCCCTATCTCCAGGGACGATTTTTTAGCCATTTCCAGGAACATCATCCATCTGCTTTCTGTCATTAAACACATCTGTGCTGTCCTTTTTGCATTTTAATTTTGTGAGTTCTCAATATTATTACTTTCCTATCAGCTTTTAGGTATTTAGGATAACTGCATATTACCAGCACACATACCTTTCGGTTTTTATCTTTTGTGCTGGTTTCTTTTTCAACCATAGTTAGAACTTAAATTTTTAAAGATTCAACTTAAACAGCATTTTTCAACTCCAACTATCCCATCCATTCCTGGATGCTTTTAAACTTTCAATCGTAAACATCATTGATGAGCTTCTAGCATCTACTTCCAACAGTCTCCTCCTTCAGTAGCAATCATAAACTCCAGTTAAGGATACCCACCAAATTTCAGAGATGATGCTTGTTAAGGTTAAACAAGCAAAGGGCAGGTTTTTAGGCTCTATGACTAAAAGCTATCCTTATGATGCTTTATTCACATAACCATATGTTTTGTCACTACTCAGACATGGCATGAATTGGTTTCATCAGAGGTTAAATTTTTGCTCTCTTTAGGAAAGCAAATCTCTAACTTTTCTCCATGAACTTCTGTGTATTGTTGGGAGAATATTTTGGGAACCTGGCAGAGGTCAGAATTAGGAGTAAGAATGTGCTTTACACAAAACAGCATGTCTGTCTATCACTTACTGAATTTTTGTCACTTGCAAGAAACTGGAACAAAACTATGAATTTATATAATATGTTCCTTAACGTGTACCATCTACTGGCTCATTCAGTTTCGTAACCCTACGAGAACCTCTGGAAACTTTCCATGGACGTTTTTCTTTCCCTTTCCAACTGCGAAAGGCCTGGTAGGAAGGGATGTATTAAACTTAACAATATTCCTGAGATACTTAACAAATGCTTTTAAACAAGTACTAACATCACCATGTGCAATAGAGGAACACTAATGAAAAAATACACTAGTAACCGCATAAACAATAAATGTTTGTTTCTGGGGGACATTCGATGCAAATGGAATTTAAGTAGCATTCATCAAACTGTGAAAATCGGAGAAAACACATGGTGGCGCTGCAGGATAATGCTACTGAAAAGAAATTACATTAAATGCTGCAGACACTCAGCCCCAGTGAGCACGGAAAACTAGGAAGAAATAACAAGTCATGGAGGTGCTACCAAGAAACGGTTTATCCTTCGGATTCTGAGGATCCTGTGGACAAATAAAAGGGCACATTTTACAGAACTGCGTGGTGGAGCAGAAGTGATTCTTTCAAAAGCGTGCTGGAAAGGAGTAATGGAGAACCCACGGGAAAGCTGTCTGCAGACCAGGCAAGCAAGGCAAGTCCTGCTTCTCTTTGTTTTGCTGGGAATAGCTCAAGCACACGGTAGGCCTGGGAGACTTTCTGTGGTGGAGGAGATGCTGAGTGGGGCCTTAGTAGTCAATCTGGTAAAGGACCTGGGGCTTGAGTTGGGTGAACTGTCTTCACGCGGGGCTCAAGTGGTCTCTAAAGATAACAAACTGCCTTTGCAATTGAACATAAATTCAGGAGATTTGCTCCTAAGTGAACCTCTAGACAGGGAGGTGCTGTGTGGCTCCTCCGAGTTCTGCATGCTGCATTTCCAGGTGTTAATGAAAAATCCCTTACAGATTTTGCAAGTTGAGTTGGAGGTCAAGGATATCAATGACAACTCCCCAGTATTCTTGGAAAAGGAAATGGTTCTAGAAATCCCAGAGAATAGCCCTGTTGGTGCTGTGTTCTTACTAGAAAGTGCGACAGATTTAGATGTAGGAACCAATGCTGTGAAAAATTATGTGATAAGCCAGAACTCCCATTTTCATGTTACAATGAGAGTTAATCCTGATGGCAAGATATATCCAGAGTTAGTTTTGGACAAGGCACTGGATTACGAGGAGCAGCCTGAGCACAGTCTCATCCTCACTGCTTTGGATGGTGGGACTCCACCCAGGTCTGGGACTGCCTTGGTTCGGGTGGAAGTCATAGATATTAATGACAACTCCCCCGAGTTTGAGCACATGTTCTATGAAGTGAAGATTCCAGAAAATAACATCCTTGGCTCACTGGTTACCACTGTGTCAGCTTGGGATCTAGACTCCGGAATTAATGGTGAAGTATCCTATGCCTTTTCTCATGCATCAGAGGATATCCAAAAGAAATTTGCAATTAATAAAAACTCTGGAGAAATACGATTAATAGGATATTTGGACTTTGAAACAACTGAATCCTACTCAATAATTGTTAAAGCTACAGATCGGGGAGGACTTTTTGGGAAATCTACAGTAAGAATTCAGGTGATGGATGTTAATGACAATTTTCCTGAAATTGATGTGTCATCATTTACCAGTCCAATCCCAGAAAATACCCCGGATACTTTAGTTATGGTTTTTAGTATCCAAGACAAGGACTCAGGAGAGAACAGCAGAATAGTATGTTCTATTCCGGAGGACCTCCCGTTTGTGCTAAAGTCTTCGATTGAAAATTATTATCACTTAGAAACGGAGGGCTCACTGGACAGAGAAAGCAGAGCTGAGTACAACATCACCATCACGGTCACCGACCTGGGCACACCCAGACTCACAACCCAACACACCATAATTGTGCAGGTGTCTGATGTCAACGACAACGCCCCCGCCTTCACACAAACCTCCTACACCCTATTTGTTCAGGAGAACAACAGCCCCGCCCTGCACATAGGCACCATCAGCGCCACAGATTCAGACTCAGGCTCCAATGCCCACATCACCTACTCGCTGCTGCCCACCCACAACCCACAACTGGCCCTCTCCTCGCTTATCTCCATCAATGCAGACAATGGGCAGCTGTTCGCGCTTAGGGCTCTGGACTATGAGGCCCTGAAGACCTTCGAATTCCAAGTGGGAGCCACAGACCAAGGCTCTCCAGCACTCAGCAGCCAGGCCCTGGTGCGCGTGCTCGTGCTGGACTCCAATGACAACGCGCCCTTTGTGCTCTACCCTCTGCAGAACGCATCGGCACCTTGCACTGAGCTGCTGCCCAGGGCAGCAGAGCCGGGCTACCTGGTCACCAAGGTGGTGGCTGTGGACCGTGACTCTGGCCAGAATGCCTGGCTGTCCTTCCAGCTGCTCAAGGCCACGGAGCCAGGGCTGTTCAGTGTGTGGGCTCACAATGGCGAGGTGCGCACCTCCAGGCTGCTGAGTGAGCGTGATGCTCCCAAGCACAGGCTGCTGCTGCTGGTCAAGGACAATGGCAATCCTCAGAGGTCTGCCAGTGTCACTCTGCATGTGCTGGTGGTGGATGGTTTCTCTCAGCTCTACCTGCCTCTGCCTGAGGTGGCACACAGCCCCACACAGGAAAAAGACGTATTGACTTTGTACTTGGTCATTGCGTTGACGTCTGTGTCTTCGCTCTTCCTCTTGTTTGTGCTATTGTTTGTAGGGGTGAGGCTATGCAGGCGGGTCCAGGGCAGCCTCTATGGGTGGCTGCTCTGTTCCTGAGGGACACTTTCCTAGCCATCTGGTGGATGTCAGTGGTGCGGGGACACTGTCCCAGAGCTATCAGTATGAGGTGTGTCTGATGGGAGGTACTGGGACTGATGAGTTCAAATTTCTGAAGCCAATTTCCCCCAATCTACCACACCAGTTCCCTGGGAAAGAAATAGAGGAAAGTCCTACTCTCTACAATAGTTTGGGGTTATTTAGTGACCATAACTGATGGTATATCATATGTATTGCATCTTATGGCTATTCCATTCGATGAGTATTTCTCCCATTTTGCATGATCTTCAAATCTCCTAGTGTTTGCATCTTATTTTGTCCCTCCCACTTTTCAATTTATGTCAGCACTGGTAGTAAGATTGTAGTTTGTTTTGTGGCCAGTTCTCTAGGATGTCCTAACTTGTAACGAATTTTCCTCCTTAACACAAAATCACCCCCATCTGTCTTTTCCAGTTGCACTTTACCTTCACTTTGCTTATGATGAAATAAACAAACCACTTCAGGAACAATTGAAATGTTCAAGTGTACCATTCCTTGACTCCCTTTGTGGGATTTTTCTTGTGTCTTATTATTATGGATGCTATTTTTCAAGTAAGTTTGTTTTTAAAATCACGCTACCTTAGATATTATTTTAAATGTTTGTTACTATTGACTATAGTAATATATTGGAAAATTTATACTATGATACAACCATTAAGCTTTTTGAAAGGGAGACCATAGTGATTCTGGAGATGGCTCAGTGATAGGACTCCAAATAGTTCACAACACAAAATAAACAAGTGGGGACAGTGGTAGTCTATTTAATAATAAGCACATGAATACTGTAGCCACTTGCAGAATCTTGGAATATGAGGTTTTAATTTTACAAATGTTTTACTAATGTCACAAAAACAGAATGTAAGCCAGATGTACAGGTACCTAAAAAATAGTTTGGATAGAATAAAGTAAGCCTGTGAGATAATATATAAATTTGCTCATGTTCTCTCTGAAATAAATGAACATGCACTGAATACTAATTAACATGTAAAAACATGCTGTGTGTGTATTATCCAACATTCAAACCTAACAGGAAGAAATGTTTTGTTCTCAGTACTTAGCCTATTGTGAACTTGAGATTTACTATTTTACTATTGCTTAAACTTCCTGATATGGTCACAAGCCGCTAAGTCAGTCACAAACTCTACTGAAGAGTAGCATCCAAAAAGTTGGTGACCACTTTATTTTGGATGTATGAAAATGTCATACATGTGTAGCACTGAGAGTTTGAAGAGATCATTATTTATATTCTAATTTTAAAAAAATTAAGTTCAACTGACACACAGAGGGGAGTTTATCTTGTGTTGAGAGGGGGCAGTCTATAATGGCTCTTGCCCTTGATAGTCTGACAACTCTACAGGGAAAAATATAATGGATGGGAGATGAAGTTTCCAATAAGTTTCCTTAAAAGTCTAAAGTCTATACGTATAGGAGGAGGAAAATGTAGATGAGAAAATTAATTATCATGGAAAAGTAGTAAGGCATAAGGGTAATAGTGGGGGGAAGGACTAAGTGATGATGTTTCCAATCCAATCTTCCTCTTGAAGATATTTAACATTGTATATTTTTAAACTAATTTTTAATTAGTTAATTAACATGCCTCGAATGTCCAAGACAATTCAGTATTTATAATTTTTGAATGCTAGAATTTCATTATCAGCCCATTGGTCTATGCATCCAGGCAAAATGTGGATATGGGCTAGTTAAATTTAATTTCCCACTTTAAGAAGTAGAAGTTAAAGCGGGTTTTCTCCTTTAAATGAAAATGTCTTTGTATAGAGAACGAAAATCACAGAATAACAGTAAATCAAAACCAAGTATTAAGATTACCTCCTGTCATTATGGTACTGAGTGGGGGAATAGATTAGTGGAGGACCAATTAAAGCATTATAGCATGCCAGACATGATCCAAAGATTACAGAAGTAAAACAACAACAACAAAAATTAGTACATAATCACTTCACATGCATCAGTGTGTGTGTGTGTGTGTGTGTGTGTGTCTTCTATTACAATTTCAATTCCTATATGCTGATCTAAAGAAATAACATGCATCTACACAAAACCATTTACAAACAAATATCCATATTAGTGTTGTACTTAGTACTAAAAAGTTAAACACCCCAAATACACATCAACTGATAACTAGATAAACCAAATAAAGTATTTCCATATAATGAAATTGTTATAAATGAGCAATAAAATAAATGTAATACGATATACACTCTTAGTTACAGTTATATGACTGTGATGAAACACCATGACCAAAACAACTTGGGGAAGACAGGGTTTATTAGGCGTATGCTTCCTCATCAATGTTCATCACTGAAGGAAGTCAGGGCAGGGCCTCAAACAGCATAGGAACCTGGAGGCAAGAGCTGGCACAGAGGCCATTGAGGAGTGCTGCTTACTGGCTTGCTTTCCAAGGCTTGTTCAGCCTTGGAAGGATTTCCTACATTCCTTTGCTTTCACAATCCTCAAACTTCTTAACCAAGGTTGGTTTCATTTTCCTTGCAACAATTCTTTTGAAAGTGGTATTTTTAAGGGCATAAGAGATGTTTGCATACATTATGTAATGCTATATTACCAAATCAAAGAAAGGCAACTACACACTGCTTTGTAAAAGGCTTCCTCTTTTGTGTAACAGTGTCAATGCAAATGGCTATATAAATAGAGCAGCTTTGCTTCTTGTGGTCCTTCTAGACTTCACTCCAAGTGACTGTTCCAACATTCCCCATGGCAAACTTATAGTCTGTATGGCTGTAACTTCTCACTATCATATCTATATTCTAGATGGCTTTGGGAGAAGATGACTATTTATACCTCTTCTGTCCCAGACAAGAAAGTAGTAAACAAAAACTCTGCTCTCAGTCCATCTGTGAAATTGCCATGGTCAAGGGAGGCGCAAACAGATCAGCTCAGTTGCTGTGATAAAACATAACCAAGGGCAACTTATTTCTAAAAGTGCTTACCTTGAGGCTTATGTTTTTAGAGAGTTAGAGCCCATGATGGTGGAGCAAGTGTCTGGTGGCAGGAACAGCCTGAGAACTCACATCTTGATCTGCAAATTTGAGACAGAGAGAAAATAATGGGAATTTCATGAGTCTTTCTAAGCTTCAAAGTCTGCCCAAAGAGATACTCTTTCTCCAACAATCCATGGCTCCTAATCCTTCCCAAATAATTCCACCAACTGGGGACCAAATATTCAAACATAGGAGTCCAGAGCAGGCATTATCATTCAAACCACCCACACCATGTGTTTGGACACACATAGAAGCATGGTACACATTTTAGCAGATGTTTTCAGAGTCGTACACAAATACTGCCTTACATACAATGCACAATTTTACTATTTACTTTTTCCTCGAATTCAGATTATTTTCTGATGTTCCTCATTCTCATTTTCTTAAAATTCTGTTTGCCTTTCAAAGACTGATTTTAAACCCTGGGTCTTCTTTGTTTTAATAAAGATACCTATTTTCCTTTTTTCTGTAAGTGAACATTGGTTCTAGTATTCTGTGTACAAAAATTTTACAAATGCCCATGTATTTCCAAAATAAGAGTAGCACTTCTCCATGACCTACACAAGCACTCACTCGTATATTTTAAAGTATCCCTGGATTATTTACAATACCCAATGCCTGATAACAATGGAAAGTCTTACATACTCAATACAAATGAAATTTTGAGGATATGTTATGCTTTTTTGTTTTTATAATTTTATTGTTTTGGACTTAGGGATTGAATCTGAACCCCAATTAGCATACTGAACACATACCACTTCCAAGCTGCCTCCCTATATTTCGATTATTTTCCCTTAACATCTAGTTACTTCTTTATGTTTAAACCCATTAGTTTCTGTGGTAATGAACTTAGGAGGTAACACTATCAGCATCTTATTTTTAATAGGCAGGGAAACAAAGGTATATAATTTGACCAGGTCTATAGGTAATGAGTGATAGTACCAGGAATATATGTTGACATATTGGTTCCAAAACCTATATTCCCAAATATTACCCATGCCCTAGGTCATAGTTACTTATCTTTTCTATGTTTCCAATATTCTTTACCTATGCATTGTTATATTTTAAATGCTAGCTTATCAATTTTCCAGTTTGGAAGTTGTATAAAACAGATCATCTTATTTGCATCATATCTTCACACACACACACACACACACACACACACACACACACACATATATATATATATATATATATATACATATATGTAGATATGTGTATATGCATATGTGCACATGTGTTTTTAGATAATGTCCCACTACATAGTCTTCACTGGTATGGAGCTCACTATGTAGACCAGGCAGACCTCAGACTCTTAGAGATGCCC